TTCACCCCGCAGCGTCAGCGTGCTTGACCGGGCAGTAAGCCCGCTCCGCACACCCTTCCTAACGGGCTTTCGCCATTTCGCATGCCATTTCAGTCTCATTTATGAGTCCATCACCTAGGTTCCCGTTCCCCGATCCCGGCTCGCGCTGCGCTTGGCCGGTATGACGAAACCAATGGGTAGTCATCTTTCCTGACTGACGCCAGACGGATCGGCGACCAAGCAAGTTTCAAACGTTCCACGTCTTTCCATGGCTCGACCATGGCATCCATGCCGCGCCGTTTCCGACCGGAAGGGCGTGCGCGAGGGATGGGAGGAGCTTCGAACCCCTGATGTCATCCCGGACCTGATCCGGGATCCATGCCGTTCCGTTTCAGCCTGACAGAACGCGAACAGTTGCAAGCTCCCCTCATCGCGAGGAAAGCCGGAGGCCTGGCTTGAAAAAGAGTTCACCAAGACCGCAAGCCTTACCCAACGTCATGACAACCGTTTTTCGTTTCCGATCCCAGCTCCCGCAGCGTGAAGGGTGACAAATCTGCAACGGTGGCGAGGCATTGTTTGCCTGCGAGCCGGCTATGCGCAAAGGCAAGGCTTGCCTCCGACTAGTCCTGTTTTCAAGAATTAATTCAAAAATATCAGTTACTTATATTGTTTTCTGCAGCCGTGGCCAAGGGCGGCTCTTGGCAGTTCCATCAAGGTGAATCACGCAGGGCGCGCGCATTCCGACGGCATCACCTGGCCTCTCAGACAGCTAAAATTTTCGCTAATTGCGCATTGATCGTGGTGATTTTCAGAAAATCACAATGAAATCAACGCTCTGTCCAGCCATGGTTTCAAGGCTTTCCTTGCGCTCTGCTGCATAACGCGCGGGCAGGCAAATCAGGGAGATTGAGGGCAACCTGTAATGTCGGCTGGGAAATAATATCAATGCTGAAGCACTCCACCTCTCTCGGAACCCTGTTCGGACGCCGCCGCTGCCCGCTGTTCCTGGCCACCGCGCTCCTAGTTGCTCCGGGTGTCGCGAATTCGGCTGACATTATCATAAGTGTCGATACCAACGAAACGAACGGAGACGCTACCAACCTTCCGTCCCCCGGTAATGGCGAATCTTTGATCGTGAACGAAGGCGTCACGATGACAATCGATGAGGACGGTGCCGGCTTGACTGTCATTGGCGTGTCAGATGTCGTGATCACCAACAATGGGTCGATTTATACGTTCGGAACAGAAAACGACTGCGGATTCGATGAAACGGGAGCTGGGTGTGCTGGTAACGAACAAAATACATCCGGTGAGAAAAGCTTCGGCTATGCCGATGGCATGTATATCGTCGGTGCCGACTATGCGCAGGTCACCAATAACGGGCTGATCGACGTGGATGATTATCGTGGCACAGCCATGTTCGTTCAGGGAGAGAGTGCGCTCATCACCAACAATAACCAGATAACGGTACGCGGTGAATATGGGATAGGTATGAGCCTCGGCCGCGGCAGCGATGCGTACCTATTGAACAACGGCACGATTACCATGAATCTCGCAAGCAACGTGACTGGTATGAATGTCTTTGGATGGAACCCGGCTGATGATCTTGGCGATCCCACCGACAACAGGTTCGCAACCACGACCGGTCACCTCCTTGTCAACACGGGTGTGATCGAGTGGGTGAAAGATTCGACCAACACGGGCTTCATCGGGATGCGGATGGATGGTACCGACGAAGAAGCCACCGGCGTTCCTGATGAATATGACCAATACCGCTACATCGTCGATGCGCAGATGTACAACTACGGCACCATCAGGGTGATCTTGACTGCGCCACCGGGCGACAGTGGGGCGGCATACCATGCCGCGGGCATGCGCACGGCCGCGCACAATGTCGACATCTACAATTATGGCACGATTGACATCGGGTCGACCGGCCGGGGTATTGACGCAACCGGGTCCGGACTCGGGGTTTACAACTATGGAACCATCATCGTGGACGGTGGCAACGCGGATCCCACCAATAATGGTCTCCTTTCCGTCGGTATGGAAGTCTTCCTGGATCGGGCAATCCTAAATTACGGCGATGCCACGACCGACATCCTTAGAACCGACGGCACGGAAGCAGACTATAGAAACAAGGCTGTGAATGCCGGCCTGATTCGGATCAACAACACGCGGGCCACGCTTGGCGCCGGGGTGCACATTAAGGGCGACTCGGGTCAGGATTTCTACAATTACGGGACGGTCATCTCACCGAATGGCTGGTCCCTCCTGCTCGATGCGGACGACGGACAGGGCAGCACGGGCATTCCCTACAAGAACAACGCTTATTTGTTTGATGGCTCAATTCTTGTGGGTGATCTCAACGTCAATCCTTATTCGCGTGTGGAGTGGAACCTTCACTTTGGTGACGGCTACAATGCGGCTCTGCGTTTCGACGACACAGAAAATCAGATTTGGTACAGCAATCGTATCCATCTGGGGGGAGCATTTCCCACCGGTTTCCATTCACCGAACGGTTTTGTTCTGGTCGACAACGTAGCGTATGTGGTCGATCTGGAGTCCTACTCGCAGCAGGACCAAACGACATGGTCCATGGTTTCCATGATCCAGGATGCTGTCGACGAGGAAACGAAGACGCGGCCGCCTGAGGGCGACTTCGCCTTCAATGGCGATGGCAGCGGTGGTCCTTCCAACAAATGGGCACGGATGTTCGCGGGCTGGGTGTACGATCCGGGCGACGGGGCGGTCGTCGTTGGTGACGAAGCCTCCGACGAGCGTGACGGTGGCTATAACGGCTATTCCGCCGGCACGATCGTCGGCGTGAACAAGGCGGAACGCAGCTATTTCTTTGGCGCTGCCTACAGCCAGGTTTCCAGCATCGACGACATGGACAACGACACCGGTTATGAAACCTATTCGGGCACGCTTTTCGCCGGGATTTCCTCAACTCTCAGGGAGCGGTTCAATCTCTCGATGACGACGGGTGTGAGTTTCAATCACACGGATCGGGACATTGCCGACAACCGGAGCGTTACAGGCCTCGATTCTGTTACCGCCAACTATGTCTCGGCGTTCTTGTCTCCCTCGCTGCTCGTCGACGGGCCGTGGGGCAGCAGCATGCGGCTGAACTATCTCGGCGCATGGACCCAGGACCACTCCTATGAGCTGTCCGGCGGCGAGGAACTGAAGGTGAAAAAGCGCTACGCCCACGTCTTCGGCTCGCAGTTCCAGATGGTGCATGACATCCCGATGATGGAGAACGTCCCACTGATCGGCGAGCGGTTTCCCGCCCGGGTCCGATACGGTGTCGAGGGCCACTATGCCCTTGGATCGGACATTAAAAGTACGGTCACGCTGCCAGGCTTCACAAGATATAGTGACAGCCTGAAGACACCTTACAACGACGGTTTCACTGCCCGCGGCTTTGCGGGACTGGATCTCGGCCCTGCCTTTGTCGAAGCCGGTTACGACACGGATGAGCAGGTTTCCGTCAGCGCCGGCCTGAAAATAAGGTTCTGACGCGAACCACCCGTTAAGCGGCCCGCTGACAAGGGGGCCACCAAGAACTGGCCGCCGGCGGACCTCCAGGCGGTCAGTTTCTTTTATTTAAACGGCGGTTTTCGTGGGCATTGGGAACGTGCAACCGGTGTCATCCTTGACGTGATCCGGGAACCATGCCGCTCCGTTTCAGCCTGGTAAACGCGAACAGTCGCAATCACCAGCCTCATCCTGAGCAAGGCCGGAGGCCTGACTCGAAGGATGTCAGCGTGTTCATGCGCCTGCCGCGGATCCTTCGAGACGGACCTGTCGGTCCTCCTCAGGATGAGGCCTCGAAGGAACGGAACCCTTTTCGCCCCGTTCGCCTCCTTCACTTTCGATTGAAGTCATACCGTCAATAGATTTGAAAAATAGGGCTATATATTTGCTTCAAATAGTAAAACTTGAAAAAATTTTCAGAATAAAAAGCGGGTTTAATCCGATAGACGACCGGTATATTACTTTTTTACTTTTTCTTGCTAGGGATTTGTGGGTGTGGGGGCGTCCGTCAAGTGAGGCGTCCGTTTATGACGACCGTTATTCTAGGGTCATGCCCGAGGCTCGCTATTTTCCCGCGCTATGGCGTCGCAACGGTGGTTCCGGGGCCGGTTGCAACCGTTGTACTTTTGCAGATTGAGAGCAATCAGGAAGGCTCCGTAATCAGGAGACCCGGCAGCGAGCGCGCAGCTCCGCTTTGCTGCGGTCGAACGAACAGAACAGTCAGCGGCACCTTCGCATCGCGTCGCAGGCCGACCGCGAAGTCCGGACTTTGCCGCACACAGGGAAACGGACAGGGCGATGATTGAGTTCCGGTCCGAAATGCGCGATGGACTGACGCGCGATACCGCTGTTGCGAGCGATAGCCGGGACAGGCCGAAACCGGGCCGTGGCGAGGTGCTGATCAAGCTGCATGCCGCTGCCGTGAACCCAGCAGCTTTCCTTTCGGAAGACGGAAAGAACGCGTTTGTCGTGAAAACGAAATTTCCGCATGGCAGCGGGCTTTGTGTTTCCGGCATCGTTGTCGCCAGGGGAGCGAACGTGACGGGCCGTGACCTGGGAGATGCGGTCTATGGATACCTGCCGAATGCTGCCCTGAGCACATGCGCGGTGTTTCAACCGGCGCATGCCGCACATGTCAGGGAAATGCCGCTGAATGCCGATTTCCGCGAGGCAGCCGCTCTCCCGCTTGTTGGAAGTGCGGTCATCCAGGCTTTCGAAAAAAACGGTCCGAGGGCGGGCGACCGCATTCTGATCCACGAAGGCGGCGGCGCAGTCGGCTCTTTTGCAATACAATATGCGAAGTTTCTCGGAGCCACGGTCTTTACAACGACAAGTACGGAAAACGCGGACTGGGTCAGGGAACTTGGTGCAGATGGTATCCTGGACTATCAACTTGTCGACTACCGGGACGAGTTGCGTGGTCTGGACATGGTGCTGGATACGCTTGGAGGCGACGCAACCTTCTCCGCTTTCGATGTGATCCGGCCGGGTGGGGCGGTCGTCAGCCTGTTTGGACCCGTCGACGACAGGGCCGCGAAACGGCTGAAACTCAACCCGCTGATGCGGCAGGTTCTCTGGTTCAAGGGGCGCGATCTCCGGCGCAAGGCGAAAGAGAAAAGCGCAAGATACAGTTTTGTTCCGATGGTGCCGGACTGCACACATCTGGCAACAATCCGTGAACTTGTTGAATCCGGAACGGTCAGGCCGGTAGTCGACACCACGAGCTTCGATCCGGCCAATGCCATGGAGGCGCTCGCGTATCACGGGAGAGGCCGTGCCCAGGGGACGATCGTCCTCGACTTTTCGGGCTAGGTGATCGACCCACCAAGACGTGTGGCTGGCGATTGGAAGATGGCGGAGAAACAAGAGGCCCGCTAGCCTCTGGAAGAGTGTGTCCGCAAAGAGGTCAGGGCATGAATTGCAGGGTCAGGCCCTGCAATGACGGAGAGGGAGCGCACTGGTTCTCTCCTTCGTCACCCCGGGCGAACAAAGTGAGACCCGGGGCCGGAGAGCCACGGTGTGTTGCGAGGAAACGTGCCTAGAGCTTTGGGTTCCCGGGTTCCCCGATCCCGGCTCGCGCTGCGCTTGGCCGGGATGACGAAACCAATGGGTATTCATCTTTCCTGACTGACGCCTGACGGACTGGCCATCAAGCAAGTTTCAAACGTTCCAGGTCATGCCATCCCGTTACCCATTGGAAGAGTGTGTCCGCAGAGAGGTCAGGGCATGGATTGCAGGGTCAAGTCCGGCAACGACGGGCGGGTGGGAACGGATTCCGGAAAGAACATCCATACGCATTGGTCATGCCATGGCTCGACCATGGCATCCATGCCGTTGCGGTTCAGCCCGGCAGGTGCGCGCAGATGGAATGTCGCGTCATCCTGAGGAAGCGCGTGAGCGCTGTCGCCAAGGATGGACCGGCGATTCCGGAGGCGGCAATTTTGCGCTGCGTCTCGCGTGCTCCTTCTTTCTTTTCTATAGTGCCCGTGAAACGCAGAAGACGGGACGCGGTGAGGGGAAATATGGCGGGATTGAGTGGAACGGACGGCAGCGCTGCTGAAGAAAATGCCTGCCCTTTTGCTCGCAAGGCAGCCGAATTCGATCCTTTCGACGCGCCCTATCAGGCCGATCCTGCTGAAGCGCTGCGCTGGTCGCGGGCACAGTTGCCCGTCTTTTTCAGCGAAAAACTCGGATACTGGATCGTCAGCCGCTACGAGGACATCAAGGCGGTTTTTCGCGACAATATCCTCTATTCGCCGTGCATTGCACTGGAGAAGATCACCCCGGCACCGCCGGAAGCGATGGAGGTTCTGAAGAGCTATGGCTATCAGCTCAACCGGACCATGGTGAACGAGGACGAGCCCGCGCATATGGAACGGCGGCGGGTGCTGATGGATCATTTTCTGCCTGAAAACCTGGAAGCCAAGCAGGACATGGTGCGCCAGCTGACACGCGAGAAAATGGATGGCTTCATCGATTCCGGCCGCGTCGATCTGGTCGACGCGCTGCTCTATGAAGTGCCGCTCAACGTTGCCCTGCATTTCCTGGGCGTGCCCGAGGATGAAATCGCGGTTTTCAAGACTTTCTCCGTTGCGCATTCCGTCAACACCTGGGGCAGGCCGACCGATGAACAGCAGATCGCGGTTGCCCATTCCGTCGGGCAATTCTGGCAATACGCGGGCAGGATCATCGAGCGGATGAAACAGGAGCCGGACGGCACCGGCTGGATGCATGAAACCATCCGCAAGAACGCGCAGATGCCGGAGGTGGTAACCGACAGCTATGTGCATTCCATGATGATGGCAATCATCGTGGCCGCGCATGAGACGACCTCGCTTGCCTCAGCCAACATGTTCAAGACGCTTCTGAGCCACCGCCAGGCATGGGAAGACATATGCAATGACCCGAGTCTCATTCCCAATGCGGTCGAGGAATGCCTTCGCTACTCCGGCTCCATTGTCGCCTGGCGAAGACAGGTGACGGCGCCGACCCGGCTCGGAGGGGCGGAACTGCCGGAAGGGGCCAAGCTGCTGATCGTTCAAGCGTCGGGCAATCAGGACGAACGCCATTTCGAAGACGGGGACAGGTTCGATATCTACCGCGACAATGCCGTCGATCACCTGACCTTCGGTTATGGCAGCCATCAGTGCATGGGCAAGAATATCGGCCGCATGGAAATGCGGATTTTCCTGGAGGAATTTTCGCGCCGTCTGCCGCATCTGAGCCTGTCAGAGCAGACGTTCTCCTATGTTCCGAGCACGTCATTCCGTGGACCTGAAGAGCTCTGGGTCGAATGGGATCCCGCGCACAATCCCGAGCGGCTCGATCCGGGCGCTTCCCGCGGCGAGCGCCATTTCCCCGTCGGTCCGCCGCTCCGGCGGGACATTGCACGCAAGGTCAGGGTCGCCTCGGTCCGGCGCGAGGCCGAGGACGTGATCGGCCTGACGCTTGTGGATGCACGGGGCCGCGCCCTGCCAAACTGGAGCGCGGGAGCACATATCGAGCTTTCAACCGGAGAGTTTGACCGCAAGTATTCTCTTTGCGGGCAGCCGGGTAAAGGCGGTTACGACCTCGCGATCCTGCGCGAGGCGAACGGGCGGGGAGGCTCCGCGCATATTCACGCCACCATTGAAGAAGGCATGGAGTTGCGGCTTAGAGGGCCGCACAATCTCTTCCGCCTGGATGAGCGAGCGGAGCGGCACATCCTCGTGGCCGGCGGTATCGGCATCACGCCGATCATCGCCATGGCCGACCGACTGAAAGCGCTCGGCAAGTCCTATCAGGTTCATTATTGCGGCCGCTCGCGGCGTGCAATGGCCTTTCTCGAGCGTCTTGAGCGGGACCACGGTTCCTGCCTTTCGATACATGCGGGCGATGAAGGGCAGCGGGCCGATCTGGGACAGATCGTCAATGGGCTGCCTTCGGGCGGGCAGATTTACGTTTGCGGGCCGGAACGGCTCATTGCCGCCGTTGAACAGCTGACAGCGCATCTGCCGGACGGCAGCTTTCATTTCGAGTTTTTTGCCGGCGGGAGCACCGGTCTAGATCCTGCCCGGGAAAAGGCATTCGAGGTGGACCTTGCAGACTCGGGTCTGAGGCTAAACGTGGCTGCGGACGAAACATTGCTCGACGCCATCCTCGCGGCAGGCATCGATGTCGCCTGTGATTGCCGGGAAGGGTTGTGCGGCAGCTGCGAAGTCGCGGTCCTGGAAGGTGCGGTCGACCATCGGGACATGGTTCTGAGCCGCGGGGAGCGCGCGCAGAACGCCCGGATGATGTCTTGCTGTTCGCGCGCGCAGAATGGCGGCAAGCTCAAACTGGCATTGTAGAGCGCCGATCGTTCACAACGAGCCGCAGGGGTTTTCGTCGCCATCCCGGAAAACCGCGGAGAATTGGGCAGGACCTCATTCTGTTCGTTCGGGTGTGATGGTCTAGGCACAACGCGGGGCACAGGCAATGCACCTCATCCTGAGGAAGCGCGCGCTGTCTCGATGGATGGCCCACACTCATGTACCTGCCGCCCATTCTTCGAGACGGGCCTGTCGGCCCT